TTCCGAAAGGCGCGCGCGGGGGGCGGGGGTGGCGGGCCTGCCCCTACCACACCCCCACCCACCCCGGCAAAGCGCTGCTTTTGGAAGCCTCCTGGGGCTTTTTACAGCAGTGAAAATGCACCTCTGAAAGCGGCGCTTTGCCGTGGGGGGCGCGCAAGGGGGGTGGCGGGTGGGTGGCGGGCCTGTCCCTGCCAACCCACCCACCCCCACCCACCCGCCACCCCTCGCGCAGAGGCTTCCCCAGTGCATTTTCACTGCCTATTTAGCTGCTGGGGAGAGGCTGGAGCAGGGAAGCTGGCTCCCAGCTCTTTTCTTGGACGATTGCTTTCCCCCCATCGCAAGCTGTGCAAAAATGGGGCATTTGTGATGGGGGGGAAGCCATCATTGCAAAGCAATTTTTCCCTGTAGGGAACATCGCAATGCGATGGCAAAAGCAATGGCAATATCTTCATCGCTATGCGGATTCGTCGTTAAACGGGCCACCCGTTAAGCAAGGCACCACTGTACACTTAACAGATAGCCTGGGGAGCTCAGATGAAAGAAGAATGTGAAGGTCCAACCAGGGAAAAGATAGATTACTAAATATAGTAATACTGGAAAATTTGCTGTTTTTCTTTATCTCTCTTTCTAGTGTTATTGTATAAGTTGATGTAAATGTACTATCTCACGCTCTGGCATTTTACCCCCTTCCCTATCCATGCCTACCCCCCTAAACCTAAATTCCCTTCCCCATAATTCTAACCCCATTGAAAAGAATTTTTAAAAAAATCAGAAGTGAAAAAAGAATACTACAATTCAAGTGAATTAGTCTTCCGTTTGTAACATTAACAGCAAGAGATGAATGTTTCAATTTCTAACAGTTAAGATCAACAAATTAATTTTGAAATGCATTCCTTCAAGTGATATCCACTCTCCATCCATGCTTCAAATCATGGATCATGTACATATCCTTTGCATACAGTGCCTCTCCTTCCTTCCTGAATGCCTTATTCCTTTCAAGTACTGCATTCCATTCATGAATCTCATCCTACCAAGTTTCAGGAACATATATTTAATCAGATTTGTCTTGTTGTAGTTTGTAAAGAAACTGAGAATCTGGAGCATGGAACATAGAATTCACTAACTAGAAGCTTCAGTGCTTCTCTGGGAGTGCCTGAGAAGCTGGCTGAGAAGAAGATAGAAGCCAGTGCCTGCCATTAAATAAAGAATTCACACCTTCTGTTAAGGAAGGCTTCAAAGGGCACTTCCAGGAAGCACCAAAGGAATCTAATGCTCCCACTTCAACTCTTGACTTTAAAGACCAGTCCACATCCTTCCCCAGTCATGCAAATTAGGCTGTGGGGGAGGGAGAGGAGATGAAAATGCTTTTGTTTGGGGTGTTCACAAAAGGAGATTAATATTTTGATTATGACAGGTGTAGAATAGTTTATTATATAAAAGGGCTTACGAAAACTAGTTAGACAGCCTAGCCTATCTCTCAGGAGAATGTTCTTTGCTCACCTGCTATTCCTGGATGCCAAGAAAGGGGCTCAGTCTTGCTCAGAAGGACGATACTGAGTCCATTTGCGGTCCGATGAAGTTTTGCTAGGAAATAATGCACTGTGTTACAACTCCGCTACAGTATGAGTCTAGCTTAGCTTTAGTTGTTTCCTGGTATTTTCCTTGTATGGCCTTGAGGCAATCTTTTTGCTCTAAGTATTTTGGGAAATGTATTCTCGAAGGCTTTCACGGCCGGGATCTGATGGATCTGGACGGGATCAAAAAAACCCACAACAACTGTATTTTGGGAAATCTTTTTGTTCATTTTTTGGAACTCTTGCTTTTTGTCCTTTTAACATTTTTTTCTCTTGAGTAGAACACAATAATCCTTTCAAGCAGTTGTCTGGGCTTTTTGGAATAGAGTGTTCGTGGTAATAAAAGAAGGTCTTGCCTTGACCAAGCTACTGGGATTTGTCATGTTTGTGTGAGTGTGATGGCAATTCAACTCTTGTAAGGAAGGCATCTTGCTTAAGTGCCTTACCTTGTAGATTTTGTTTTGAACTCCCTGCAGATACCGCCAGTTCTGACTAAATTGTCTTAGACTCCATAGTCATCACCACTGCTGACTCTTGCCAGGGGAAGCAAGAGTAGGGTGGCAGAGTTACTATAGAGGAGAGACGTGACCAGGAAACATCACGTTAAGAGTTCAACTTGTATTATGCTTGTAATTTCTGGGTTTCCCCCCCTTTCCTGTTCTTTAGCCTTAGATCCCTTTATGTGAGATATTTTGTAACCCTTTTTTATATCTTTTGTTTCAAAAGGAACAGAAAAATAGAAGATACAGCTGAAACAAATGCTGAAATTCTTGCTCGCCTAACTTCTGCGGTAGGTATTTCACAAGAACTTCCTTGATCTTTTTGAAATGCTATCTTTTTATAGTGAGCTGTAGTCTTATATCTTCGAATATCTTTTGCATGCAGTGATTTAATAAGAATAAGTTAATACTGTGCTATATTTGTATCCTGACCTTTAAACTATGCAGGGATCTCAGTGCAGATAACTATTGGATAAGTGCAACAGCAGTCATCAATGTATTAAAATATGATGCAGCAGTACATTAAGACACAAGTAGTGATTAAATCCACACAAACTCAGGGCCAGAAGATTGTAAGTGTGTTAAAATAGGAATCTAAAAATTATGAATGAATGAAAAAGTCTTTATGTGGCACCAAAAAGATGAGAAGATTGACACCAGACAGTCTTCTTTGGGAAGCAAATTTTTCAGAAGGTAGCATCCCTGCCTGAATGATGCACGACATTAGTAATAAAAATTGCTCGTTGTCTTTTCCAAATATGTTAATTCTCTATTAGCAGTAAGTGGACTGCCATAGGGGAAGGAATAACTAGGAGAAAATAATTGTGCCTGTATCCATGAAAGGCCCATGGAAATTCCTCGAGAAAATGCTGGGAAACTGTTTAATCTTTGCAAGCAGGAAGAATTTTGTTCTGCAACTTCCAGAATTCTTTAGCTAGCATGTTCTGGGAGTCATAGTGCAACAAAGTAACTTTTCCGAGATCTGCAAGTAGTGAGGTTGCAGAACTCTATGAGCACCAAAGAGGTTGTATACTTTTGGAGGGATTTAAAATGGTTGAGATCAAAATAGATTGTGAGAGTTTCCAAGAACCAATGTCCAACTGATCAACAAAATCTCTCTCTCTCTCTCTGCGTGTGTGTATAAACACACACACACACACACTCACACGGGGTGGGGGAGAGAAATGGGATCTGAATTGCTGTGGACTGATCAGGCAAGAGACTGAACTGAACCCAAGCCTATTAAGTGTCATAAAATGTTGTACAGTATTTATTTTTAAGCAGGCCTGTAATGATGACTAATTGATTTTATTAGCTTTGAAACATAGTGTTGAATATTTAAATAGGATTACTTATTTTTATTTCTTGAAGCTTCACAGATGCCAGTAACTTGCTGTAAGCATCCCTGAATGTATACTCTTAAAATGGGGCTACAGGGCCCCCTGCAGACAGGAAAGACCAGATTTAGAGCAGTGGGTAGATAAACAGGCAAAGATATCCAAAATTAAAATTAGAGTAAGCAGAGATTTATATATTCCCCAAGCAAAAAACAGGGTGATTTCATGACATCTTTAATAGATCCTGATGAGAAAGAATGTTGGAGGGGAGTAAAGCCATCTGGAGATTTGAGAGATGAGATAACTTTTTCTTTAATCGTTCAACATAAAGGGTGTTAGCAAGTTGACCACTGGGATTCCATACCCATCCTTCCATTTGATCCTGACAAGATGAAATTGTCAGGATAGTGATTAGGTGGTTATTTGTTTGGAACTCATGGACATGGTCATCTTGGGAAGAATTCTTAACTCTGTAAAATTCCTATAAAGATTATCAAAGGTCTGCCTTTATTAAGGGGACGTGGTGGCGCTGCGGGCTAAACCACAGAAGCCTGTGCTGCAGGGTCAGAAGACCAGCAGTCGTAAGATCGAATCCACGCAACGGAGTGAGCTCCCGTCGCTTGTCCCAGCTCCTGCCAACCTAGCGGTTCGAAAGCATGCAAATGCAAGTAGATAAATAGGGACCACCTTGGTGGGAAGGTAACAGCGTTCCGTGTCTAAGTCGCACTTAAATCATGATAAATTAAATAAGATATTTGTGACTAGTATATGGAGTATTAATAAGAACTATATCCATACAAACTAAAACCAGGTTTAGTAGAGAATTAATGTCTTTATTATGTAGGTTTTATTGTCACATAGTAGTGAATTGATACAGTTTTATTGTCACTGGCTTCCCTCACACAGCAGTTCAGTATTTTTGGAAGGTGTTTTTTCCCCCCTCAGAATAATAGTAGAGTTCCATTTTCTTGATTCAGGCTAGAACCAGTTTTGAAAGGAAATGCATACTTTTTTTCATACAATGGAAGGGCAAGGAACATTTGAGTGATAATAGCTGTATCGGTTGGTGCCAAGTTGGTTCGACTGCAGGAAACAACTGTGCAAAGGATACTCTTGTTATATTTTAATTGTTAAAAAGTACATTGAGTGCTGCAGTGTGTACCTCTATAATGAGAGATTCCCCTACTAACATAGGTTATGTCTGTTTTTAGGTCATTTTCTTAAAGATACATTGTTATTTGAAGCATATGTATGTGTTATATATATAGCCAGTAATACAAACAGTAGTGAATTCTTTATATTTAGAGCAGCCTTGACAAATGGTCCAGTTTTTTGAATTCTTACTTCAGAATACAACAATAAGGAAATAAATCCAGTTCCTAACCCCAAATTGAAGTAGGCCCACTGAATCAGTTGCTGAATGATAACTGAGTAATTCCTAGTGAGTCTCGTGTCACAGTGGTTAAACTGCAGCTGCAGTCAAAGACTCTTCTCAAGACCTGAGTTCATTCATGGCCTCAGGTAGCCAGCTCAGGGTTGACTCAGCCTTCTATCCTTTTGAAATTGGTAAACGGAGTACTGTACCCAATTTGCTGGGACAGGATGGGTGGTGGGGGAATGTGTAGCCTGCATAATTAAATTTTAAACTGCCCAGAGAGTGCTTTAATCACTTGTGGGTTGATATATAAGTAGCACAATTTGCTTTTACTTGCACGAATACAGTTGGTTTGATGAATCTTCGATACTATAGTTGGGAATAAAAACTGGACCTGGGCTGTAATTATGCAGGAGGACAATGTATTAGAACTGTTCTTCTTCTCTCTGTTCCTGGCATGTTTCTGGACCTAATTCAAAGTATTCTGTGTGGTTTTTTTTAATTGAAGTATTTTATAACATTTGACCAGTCACCTTAAGGTTTGCTTGTCTCTGTTTATATAAACATTAGCTTTGACATCTTCATTGGAGACTCTTTCCTTTAAACCTCAGCCAAGTAAGTTGTAAATAGGAGATTGCTAAAGGACCTTTTTGTTGGTGCTGTTCTGACTTTGGAATATTATCTCCAGAGAGCATTGTCTGGTGCTTTCATTGATTTCCTTCCATTGCCAAGCAAGGACCTTAGCCCAATTCACCAACTCTCTAGCCTGGCACTATGAATAAGATTACAGAGAATTGACTGGCTCCTCCCCCTCCCCATTGTTGCATTTTTCCTGGTTTCAGTGACAGGTGAAGAGGAGAAGGCTCTACATGCAATCACTAGTTCTGGAAAATCTGGATTCTTGCTCAGATGTAGAGCCTACATAGAAGGCAGTCCAGTCTAAACACAGTCATAGTTGGAGTGAAGAATGCCTTAACAGGACTCTTATCTTCATTTGCAGTTTATTTAGCCTATTTTCCCAGACAACTTTAACCAGGGTTTATATATATTTACAAGCCAATTTTGTTAGCCACCCTAAGGGCTCTGTTAAAAGACAGGCTAAAGATATGCACAGTAAAGTAAACAGTCCTGTATTGTGACATAGTATTCCTTAGGGGTGGGGAATGAGAGGTTCTTCAGATGTTGGTGGGTTGCAACTGCAGTTAGATCTAGCCAGCATGGCCATTGGTATGAGAAGACAATGGAAATTGCAGCTGAGCCACATCTAGTGAGCTATATTTACCCCAACCTTGCCATAGGTTAAATTCTGTTAAGCATGGTACAGTAGATGGTGAAGTAGAGGCTTTTAATCATCTTCCCCTCTTTTTTAACAGGAGGGCTTTTTTGGACCAGGTCTGAGGGATGTTAAATTGCAATGTTACCAGGGGTATGACTGTGAATTGAAAAGATAAAAGTTGCATTGTAGATGTGCTTCTTTCCATGCCCTGTCCAAGGTATGCCCCATCGTAGCTTTTTTTTGCTTTATTGGAAATTCTGCTGGTATAACAGAGTCACTTCCAGATCTCAAAATCTTACAGTCCCATTTGTGAGCATAGAGTTGTACTCCAATGTTGTTTTTTTAAAAAAGTCATTAGGGAAAAAAAACCACAGATCAAACTTAGTGTAAGGCAATAACAGAAATATTTAAAAGATTGCATCCGATAAAAATATAAAATGCTAAATTCAAAGTCTCCATTTATAATCTAGTGAATAGTTACTAAATGAAGCACTTATAATAATATTGCATATCTTTGCATGTTGCTTTGAGTTCCAGTATAATATCCAAGTTTACATAATTCTCTCTTAGATATATTCAAGGACATTTCTCCATTTTTAGTACAAAGATAGCATGCAATTTTGCACATGATTGCTAGCAACCATGGCAGGCCCTCTGTAAATATAGCATTGCTCTTCATAAAGTAACAGTTTGCACAAAGGAAATGACAAGCAAGCATTTTTAATTCTCAACATGGTTAACATCTGTTTTCAGTAGCTTCCTGCAGCTATAAAATTTGAGCATAAAACATTACATTCAACACTGGGTGTGAGAGAAACCTTTTCCTTTTTGACAGAATTTTGTCTTCCTCTGTTCTCCCTTTATCCCTCTAAATCTACTCCAGAAAGTCTCCGGCCTTCTTGAGCAGATATCCAGGGAACTATAGAAACAAGGGGAACATGTATTCCATCCATGAATGACATTTTTTAGGAATTATACACAATCCATGATATAATTTAAAGCCAATAGGCTATGCATTTTTACTTTTCTTGTCTCTATATGCGAAATGTGTGTGTAAGACAAACCACTGATGTATATTTTAAACCATGAGACACTGAAGCTTAAGCTTTTATTTTTCAGCCTTTTTAATGGAAATGTTTTTGTTCTAATAATATATAAAGTGACCTGTTGAAGGCACATAAAATTATAACCTTATAGAATAATGGTGTTGGAAGGCGCCTATAAGGCCATTGAATCCAACCCCTTGCTCAATGCAGGAATTCAAGTCAAAATATGTCTGACAGATGATTCTCTAATGTTCTCTTCAATGTCTCCAGCATTGGAGCACTCACCATCTCCTGAGGTAATTGGTTCCATTGTTGTACTGTTCTAACAATTAGGAAGTTTCCCCTGCTATTCAATTGAAATGTGGCTTCTTGTAACTCAAGCCCATTATTCCCCCATTTTGGGATGTCTGAGAACAGATCCTGCAGGTCCTCTGTATAACAACCTTTCAAATATTTAAAAATTGCTATCATGTCTCCCTACAGTCTTCTTTTTTCAAGGCTAAACATGCCCAGTGCAGAACAGCAGGGAAAGAGTACTTCGCAGAATTTGGAGACTATACTTTTATTAATACAGCCTAAAATAGCATTTGTCTTTTTTATAGCCACTTCACACTATTGGTTCATACTCAGCTTGTGATCTACGAATCCAAGGTTCTTCTTGCTTGTAGTATTGCTAAGCCCAGTATCCCCCATCTTGTAACTTGTTGCATCTTGCAGAGTTAAACAATGAGATTCTGGCTTATCATATAAAATGAGATATTATTTTGACAACATATTTAGTTTTTAATAGGAAAATAGTGCCATAGTGTGATTTGGTGAGCAAAGAAAATCATGAGAACATTTATTTTGAAATGGAAATTGCATATAATATTTTAATATTATAATATTGTCCATAAGATAGTTGCCCGAAACTTCAGGAGCAAAAAAAGGGAGTTTGCAGATTTGCAAATTGGTTGGCCAAAGATAAACTAATAACTTCTGAAAATAAGCAGATGTACAGTATACTTGGAATAGAAAATTTAAGTAACTCGGCAGGTAAAAAGAGTACATACTTGAAGAGTCTGAGACAGAATAATTTTTTATTCAGTTACAAGCTTAGAGTTGATGCTTTTAAACAGTTGATGAGGAATGCTTGAAATTAATTTTAAAATATTCATCAGTTTTTGTTTCTGAGAACAAAAAATGTGTTCTTTATTTGGACAAACAATAATTTTCCAATTAGAAAAATAAGCATGATAAATAGAAGTATCCAAGGGTCCGGTTACATTAATGTAATGCTCCAGAATATGTGACAGTGTTATTGAAATGGATTTAAAGTCACGTGGCAGTCGCATGGTATTTGAATCACATTGTGCATTCCCTTGGGATAGCTTTTAATCAGGCATTTCCCCCCGGTACTGTATCAATGTCAGAGACTATACTCACAATTTAAATTATTTTTAACAAATTTCCTAGACACCTGCAGACTGCTATGTTTACATAACAAAATAGGAGCTCCATGTTTTGCCCAAGAATCCAGTATTTTGAGTTATTAATTTTTATTATGTAGCCACTTATGCAATCATCTTACTTTTTTTGATTAGTGTTTCTAAGTGGCATAGCACTAGAACCCTGGGGGGTGGGAGTTCAGAGCACTGGACAAAGCAGTCTGATATGATATAAATAAATAATTGTAACAAATGTTCAGACAGATAACAATTTTTTAAAAAATATACCAAAAGAGTTGTTCACGTATGGGGAATCACTTGAAATTAAATTGATGTGATGTCTGAGTTAAAATAAATTACTTTTGGTGGAGGAGTTAAACCACTTCCACTCAAAAACCAAAACAAAGCCAAAAACACAATTCCCTGTCAAAACAATCTGCTCTTCCATATGCATCATGCATTCACCTTTTAAAAATTTTATTTAAAACACCCAAAGCCCATTTTAGATAGAGGTTTTAGTCTTGTGCTGTCTTCAAGTGAAAAGAAAATCAAATTCCTTATAGATTTTTCCAATTCTGATTAAACTTCTGTATGAATCATTCTTGTCTCGGAGGAGATTTACATTTCTGTTTTATAAACATTAAAAGTATCTCTGGTTAAAAAAGACAGTTGATAAAAAACAGTTGTTTCCGAGAGATACAATGTTTCTTGTAAATAAAACTGTAATTACGTTTGGGCGATTGCAATCTTTATGAAAGCTGCTTCAGATTCTCTAGTTGACCCAATACAATGTTAATCCTTTATCTTTTAGTTTTCAGTGGCTATACAGGGGCAATTCTGAAAATATTAAATGAACATAAATTGAGTAAGAGATAATTGGTTCAGCAGTGATGCCAGCTAAATCTGCAAGTAGTCTCAAAACAATATCTACAAGACATTCAAACTATGATATTCATCTTTGCTTTGACTGTGTGAGCTTTTATATTGTAATAATGACGTTTGACCTTTTCTTCCATGACTATCTGACTTGATTTAACTGTGTTTAAATTATTAAAGAGATTATTAAGAGGACATCCATGATTAGCATGGATATAAAATAGAACTGATAGTATTTTCATTGAAGTATTAAGCATTTGAAGGATCTGAATCTGAAGATATTGTAGCGCTATGGGGCGGTATATAAGTCCAATAAATGAATGAATAAATATGTATACTTCCATTTCCAATATTGAAAGTTAACCTTTTTGGACATAAAATATTTTTTTCAAATACAGAATGCATTATTTTCCATTAGGCAAAATGGAAAGACAGCAGGAAATATGACAAAACCACTAAGATGGTATTTTTGGAGGCTGTTCACAGGCTGTGGAATTCCCTACCTACCTGGGGGGCGGGGGAAGCTGGCTCCCTCACTGATGTCCTTCCAGAATCAGGTCTTTGACAGCTGAGTACTGGGCAGTGAAGGGCTTTTTTAGGATGTGGTGTATGTGTGCTTTTCATTGTTTTAATTTCTTTCATTGCTGATGTAATGATAATATGCTCGTTGCTTTTTAATATTGTAATTTATTGTATTTTCCCTGCATTTATTTTGAAATATATTGTGAGCTACCTTGAATACCTTTACGAAACCATAACCTTTCATATTCTGAGAAGTCAGAAATTTATCAAGAAAGTAGACTTCTTAGTACGTATTTCTGATAGGTCAATACATTTCATATTTTGAAAAAAAAATGTGAGAAATTCTGAATTTCTTCGTAAATCTTGCTCAACTGCCGATACTTGCTTTTATTTATATGTCAGTGTGAGAACTGATGCTGGTAGTTCTTCTTTTAAAAAAGCCTATTATTTTCATCTTTTGCTTTATCACTAGTCCTTTCAGTGCTTTATTACTGTTTTCAGTAGCTGCCACAGAAAATCCACAGAGTAATTTGTCTATCTGAAAGGGAGACATTGAATACCAATAAATACAGTAATAAAATATAGTAATAAATCAAGTCGGTTCTGACTTATGGTGACCCTTTCTAGGATATTCTAGGTAATGAGTACTCAGAAGTGGTTTGCTACTCTCTTCTTTTGGGGCCAATCTGGAACTCTGCAGCTTGCCCAAGGCTACACCATTTGACTCTTCTCCATGAGGGCACACTGAGGAATTGAACTCCCAAACTCTGATTCCACAGCCAGATACCTAACTCACTACATTTTAATAAATTAACTGATAGTAGACTTATTAGCACAGTTAATTCCACACATTCAGGTGACTGCTTTAGATCAGTGGTTCCCAACCTTGGGTAATGCAGGTGTTCTTGGACTGTAGTTCCCAGAAGCCTTTGCCACCAGCTATGTTGGCTGGGTTTTCTGGGAGTTGCTGTCCAAGAACACCTAGGTTACAAAAGGTTGGGAACTATTGCCTTTGGTGATAATATGTGCCTGATGTTTATGTAATGGCAGATGAAGAGCGCACATGCCATCCATCTTGCATTCAGTAAGCACCCAGTCTTTAATCCTTTAAATGTCCATTAAAGAGGGAGGATATAGTAGGAAATAATGACATTTAATGAAATAAATACCATGTTTTCCCGAACATAAGACAGGGGCTTATATTAATTTTTGCTCCCAAAAATGCATTAGAGCTTATTCTCATAATTTTATGAAATAATGTTTTAATGTTGATAATTTTTTTTTCATGTACAAGAATCTATTTAGATACAGTCATGCCATCTTCTTCTGATTGCTTCACAGTGCTGCACAATGGTGGAGGGTGAGGTTTCACTTAACTGGGGCTTATTTTTGGGGTAGGGCTCATGTTACGAGCATTCTGAAAGATCATACTAGGGGTTATTTTCAGGTTAGGTCTTATTTTCAGGAAAACAGGGTATATGCTTCTAAAATAACTAGGAACATTTTAGCACGTTAATTTCCCACTGTAGGTAAAGCTTTACTGTATTCCAGTTATATTTATACATAACTGTAGTAAAGCAAAGAAAACTTTTTGTAGCGTTAGTCTGACTTAGATAGAAAATAAAATCCTGTGCATGTTTAGGACTAAGCCTGTACAAACCACACTGAAAGTCGCTTAATTTAAAATATGTGTACACAAGCCTTCAGGTTGATTGCAATGGGATCAGTTAGACATAGACTGCTAGCAAAACTTTTGTCTCCAGCCTAAAGAGCACATGTTAAGTATGTGGGTATCCTTATGCTTTTCTGTATTACATGTTTAAATATAATATAAAAGTGACATGCATATATCTTTAACTTTGCACAGTGTATGTAGCAACTTTCTTTAGCCTAGTGGTAACTCTTGATCTTCTTGGCATGTTAGGTGCAAAGAGAATTGGCTGCTGTTCTTGCGATGAAGGCAAGAAAATCAGGTGAGTATATCAAACTATTGATTCTACAGTTTTAAGTGGTATTACATGCAGGGAAAAAGATAGTATAAAGCTGCCTGAGTGTAACAAGAAACATGTCTTCCTTCTGTGTATTGCAATTAATGTTCACGTGATAAACTAAAGATATAATTGAACTTCTAGGGTTTCTCATACAAACCAAGTATTCTTTACGTTTGCTTCGTTTGTTAATGTTTAACAAACTGATGTTTACATGTGCATTGTCTACAGTGGGTAGATTCTGATTTTGAAGATGGCTTTTGTTTAACACATTTTAGCAGGGGAGAGATCACTGACTTAATAATTTCATTTTTTCCCATTAGTGGTGAATGTCTAACCTAAAAACAAACAAACTCCTAAATAAAATGTTGACAAAGGTTGTCAAACTGGCATGAGCCTGTTCATTTGTGCAGGACTGAACAGTTAATGAGTATATTTGAAGAGCAGGCACAATGTATGGATTGAACAGAACATAAATGAGCCAAACATTGCTCTATTTCATCCCCCATTCCTGCCATCCTTAGTTTTAGCTAACATTACTTATGTACATTGTTCACCAGTGTCAACAGGAGCAAATGGGAGACAAGCAAAAACATAATTATGTGGCCCCTCTTAGGTTCACAAATAACTGAAATTCAATATACCCATCAAGCATTATTTATTTACTTAATAAAAATATTTATTACTTACTTTGCTGCACACAGGAGCTCCCAAGGCAATAAAAGCAAGTTCGTAACTATTAAAAATGTTGAAGGCTAGATTGAACAATATGTTTTAAAAATTATTACTAAGTACACCAACAAAAATGTCAATGACGATTATACCTAGTACTCTTGCATAATACAACAAATATTGTAGTGCATACGTAATTAGTCAATTGGGAGGCATATATGCTCACACATAACTAGTCGTTTTGTGTTCTATTTGTTACTGATTACATCTCTCCAGTAGTTTTGACTGTCTGCCAGAAGCATATCAAGGATGGAGCAAGCTTGACTTGCTTTGAGAGTCCACTGCTACACAGAAATCTCTGTTTTGTGTACTTAATGATCTAGCCTGTCAGAGCAGTGACTCACAAAACAGGTGAAAATCTCAAGTTTTGGGTAGACTGGTATGAGAGAAAACTGTCTTCTAGTTATCCTGGCTCCAAGCCATTTAGCCCAGGGCTTATTGGTCAAAAACTGCCTTTTGAATTGAGTTTCAAAACAGATTGGAAGCCAAGGAATTTGCTTCAGGAGCAGTGACATGTAGGAAAGGAGATGCTCAGCTCACATTTAGAAGGACTGTTCACTTAAGAGGTGAAAGAGATCTATATTTGCATATGCTAGGGTGAACATTTCTCACCTCTGTGTCTTTCATACCAGGATGTTTGTTTTTGCTTTGCTATTTGTCACTGGAAGTTAAACACAGGCGTATTTTCTTGTCTGATTGCTGAGGCAGAGAATTCAGAGGAAGTCCCACTGCTGGGGGGGAAATGTGGTGTCATCTGAAGTGCATGACAAAGAGTCTGCCTCATGAATTTTGTTCTAGTTGTAGCTTCTGACAACTCTCCCATTATCTCCTATTCCCGACTTAGATCGCATTACAGTCTAATTGAGGAGTAATTAAGGAACAGAACACTGTGGCTAAATCTGCCTTTCCTAGGAAGGGCACAGCTCATGCACCAGCTGAATTCTTGAATTCTCACACCATTTGCTGGTAACAGAAATGTACGAGTTGACTGTTGATAGATATGATGACTATAGAAACATCTATGTGCTTTGAGCTAGGTTTTATATCCAGAGTAATATTTGCAGAATTGGTACCTCATTTGTACTGGCTGGATATCTCGGTGAGTTCGGTACCTGTTGGCGGAGCCAGAGGCTGGAAGTTACGTTCCTCCCTGTCCTGTGCCTTCTAGGAGAAGAACCAGCCTGTGTAGCAGCATAGATACAGAGTCCTCCCAGAAGAATAAACAACATGCCACTTCTAAGTTGTTGTTGTTGTCATTTAGTCGTGTTCGACTCTTCATGACGAACAACAAGCCACTTCTAAGTTGTTGTTGTCGTTTAGTTGTGTTCTACTCTTCATGACCCCATGGACCAGAGCA